CATCAAAGTTCTTGGTTTTCAAGGATTTACAGCGGCCTCGCACGTCTGGCATTTTTCCCTGTGAGAGGGAAGCGAGAAGGACAGCCCCATTAGTTTAGCATCACTGACAAGTACAAGCAAACACCTCCCGATGGCTTCAAAAACCTCTGGGAACAAGGTTATGGGGAACCAATTTGATCTGGGGTTTTATAATGAAATATTAGTCAAAGAAGATCTTCCCTTGAAGTGACTGCTTTTTTTGATCACAGCATTTCTTCATGAAACTTTGTACCCTTTTCACAAAAAAGTACTGGCATACCATTTTCTTCCTCAGTGTGTCTTAATGTTTCTGTGAAGAGCAATTATTAAGAACCTTGTAACCCATCATGGCATAATGAAATACCTGAACTGAACGTCTGAGACCTGATGGGACCTGCTGTGCTCACCTCCCTCGCTTTTCATCCTGAAGGTACCATCCTGATTTTTCCAAGGAAGGGAATGAGTTAAATCAGTTTTAGCTTTCTCATTTTACCTTAGGATTTTCAAAGAAATCCAATGTTGTTTTATCATACACTGGATTACACTGATTAGAGTTCTTAGGTGTTGGAGATAAGGAAAACAATAATACTAAAGCAGAGCTACGGGTTATTCAATGAAAACAGTTAATGGAACAAGGACATAAGAGAGATGATGATAGGAAAAGAAAGGTTAAAAAAACATTGTGGAGTCCTTTAGCCAACAGAAACAAACTACATAGTTCATTACATACAGTTTAACCTGAAGTAATTTTGAAATTAATTACACATAGCACTGTATCTAAAAACCCTGCACCCTTTCTGACAGCAGTTATGCTAAGGCCTGAGTAGTTTGGAAATTCTGGTTAAAAACTGAGATTTGGGCTGAAGAACCTAAATTCGAAATGTTGTATGAAGCAGCCATCTGTGAGTGTAAGGTGTAAAGAGCTACCTGCCTGCTGGGGGCAAAACTGGGCTGCCCAAATACCCTTTGCCAGCTGCCACTGGAAACTGGTTTTAGGCATACTGTCAGGGAAATTTCTTTCCCGTTTTTTTTTCCAGATTTACGGAAAAAACCTCATATCTTGTGACCCAAAAATTGCAGGTAATGTAAGACTGGCAAGGAATCTTGTGTCATTAAATTTGGTCCATCAATAGCCTGAGCACAACATTCTTCCATATTCTGTTTTGGAATTATGGTGATGTGGGAAACATTGCAAAAATAGTGATGAAACAATCAAGGTGTTTCTTATGATTAGTTCTTTGAGATTGCAGCTGTAGGTTGGCTGCAGTTGGTACCTGAGCTGCTGGATTATGCACTTTTTTTGGCTAAATATTTGAAGGCTCTGTGCAGTGTAAACTACCAAAGCCCTGGAAAGTCAGAGTGTTCAGCAAGTGCCTGGGTAATAATTTGGGAAAAACTGTGAGAACTCAAATACATTTATCTTCACCCCTTACATGTTAGAACATATTTCAGTGAAGAGATTTCTGTTGTGTCTTGGACTAGGAAAATGGAACACATGAGCATCTCTTCTTCTCATAAATAACCCAAGCATAAGGTGTGGTTAGGTCTCCTGTCTTAAATTAAAATACTGAGAAGTTGGAAGCATCATGCTGGGAAATGAATTGATTTAATTTAGGAGAGTATTCAATGTGCATTAGATATCTGATGTGTGATATTAAACCCAGCCATTTTTGAAGGACCCCCACTGACATAGCTTGGGTTTATATTCATAGGAATAGTTCTGTATTTTCCTTCATCCTTTCCTGGCTTAGCCTTATTACATATCATTGCTCACACTTGGGGCAGTCTCCCTTCCCTCTGTAAAGCTCCATTTCAGCTCTAATGACCATTTGCCAGTCTGTTCAGTACAGTACTCTTCTGAATTAGTTTGGTTTATGCTTTTTTAAGACTGTCAGTTCCTGTAGTCTAGAGATCTCTTATCTTTCTAGTTCATACTGTATTTTGTAAAATGCTATGTTTTGTCTTGAGATCTCTACATATTATAAATGCTGTTTAAGCTAAAAAAAGAAGACAGCCAGGCATCCTATGAAATTTTCTGTAGTTCTTTCATTCTATTCTTGATGTGCAGGGAAGTTGCTGCCTGCTTAGCCTTCACTTGGTGACAGCTGCCATGGAGCCAAGGCGTGCTTGCCCAGTGCCAGGCCACTCTGCATTTCCTCTGAACATTCCTGCTCAGCCAGTCACTCTCCTAGGAGTGAGTTTGCCAAGATTACATCATGCAGGGTAATTTAACTGCCTGGTCACCATTGTATCCACTACTATTTGTGGCTCTCTGAACAATTTCCAGCAGAATGCTCTCTCCTTCTTCACCGTGTACACAAGCTCTGAGTTTTTTCTCATTTTTATTTGTACCTTGGTCTTTAATAGAATTACGCCTCAAATAAATAAAGAAGTGAAATTCATTAATTAGCATGACTGTTTGATCTTCTAGAAAAGAATAAATTCTGTGAGAGATGCATATAATCTCTCCATCATCTTAAGGCTTTGCTTTTAGAAGGATGGAGTAACACCTTTGATTCAGAAAACAGCAGTTTGCAGAAGACTTGGGTAAATATTTTCTTGGGTAAATATATTAAAATTGAGAATCAGTTTGCAACCTATTTTCCAAAGCCCCACAATAAGGTTCTTGAGGAACCCTTATTCCTCAAGAATTAGGATTCTTCTGTAAGAATCCTTATTTGAGGGTTGTGGATAGTTATGACAAAACAGTTGGGCCAATTTTTGTGGTGTCTACTTCCAAGATTAGACTTTCACAGAGTTTCCTCTCACTGATGTGTAGTCCTCATGCTCAAACAAAGAAGGAGACTCCAGAAGGGTCATGGTCAAAGGGACTGACAAGGGGCTAGACACAGCTGCAGCTGGGATAGAAAAGTTGTAGAGACATTGCATCTCTCTGTTCTTTACACCACACTGGGCAGTGGTGAGTTGAGAGCAAAGACAGCTCTCCGTCACCAGACTAATTCTGTTGACAAAGCATGGAAAAATTATGGTCTTTCTGTAAAATAAATGTGTTGTGCCACTCCAGAAAGCATTGAGTCCTCAGACAGTAATACTTGAAACTAGCTGCTTATGTCTTGTCTGGCTTTATAGGAATCCACCCACGTGACCATTTGGCCACATTTCAGTCCAGAGCAGGCAATTAAAACCTTAAATCATGAAGATATGTTTAATGAGGATGACTAACTAGTTAGCCAGCATTCATGGATGTAGAAAGAAAATTAGCACATGGTTGAAAAGATTATTCGTTTATTCCTCTTTTATGCTTTGCTTGGTTTATTTTGAGGCAACTGGTATCTGTTTCAGATTAAGAAAAATGTGGTATCATCTGAAGAAAGGCAGTGAATTCCTGTAACTAAAAGATCCATCAGCTTTATGCAGTGTATGTGCTAATCCCCTTCTTTCCCTCAGGACAGTTCATTAAAGCTATGTAATAACAAGGGAAGATACAGGAAAAGAGAAAACCTGCCATGGTTTGCCCTAGTATTGGAGGAACCTGTGCTTAAGTTTGGCAAGTTATGTTGGAGTAAAAAACTTTTGCAGGTTCTCTTTGCACCTGCTACTGTGCTTTACAGAGTTAGTCTTCACACAGCCCAAACTATGCCAATCTATTTGTTGTTTCATTTCAGCTTTGCAGTGCAGAAGGATATATTGTGTAATGCCTTTTGTAGTTTGGTCATGCTTCTTTGATTC